TACAGGGTGGGTGGGGGGGGGGTGTCCTGGCGTGAAAGTGAGAGGAGATAACGTGAGGAATCACCATCCGATCATCTATTTGCGTGAGTCGGTTGAAGGGCAAATGACACCCTGGTTAGGTCCCCAATCAATCACAGACATGTCTTCAGCCTCACATTCACACTAAAACGCACGCGGCCTGTATGCGAGTCAGCCCAATGTATCCGCTACACTGACACAAGTCTCCTCGTTTTTTAATAAGGCTCGTCATTTCCCATAAGAGTCGCCACTTCCTTGCCCGCACAAAATGTTCCTTCCGTAATGAACCTCTTTGTCAGGTGAGACATAGTCGTGACGAGCATAGCAAGAGCGGCCGAGGAGGAGGATGCAACGAGAAGTAACGGGGGGCGCGGGCCTTGACCTCGCTTCCGAGTCACAACACGACTGGCTCGCACACACGAGCTTCAGGCTTGCGCCCATCGATTCGGTCCGGGCCAATCCCGAGTCGGAACGCGGAAGAGGAAGTCACTAGCGGGTTGGGAGTTTGTCATCGGGCCCCGACTCAGCTGGAAGTGACTTGCTCCTCACTCGCTCTCACCGACTTACATCCAAATTGCTCCTGACTCTCTGCCAACGCGTTCCCGACGACTCGCTCCTGCTGTCTCGCTGCAGACTCGCTCCCAACTGGCTCTGTACCTCCTCCCTCTTACCTACTCGCTCCCTATGCGCTCCCGGTTTGCTCTTCATTCAATTCGATCATCAGGGGCAACGCTTTAACCTCATTGCCCTTGTTCCAGATCCACTACTGACTCCCTCCTACACACTACATTTTGATCCAGACTTCCACCCAACTCGCCGTCAGTCAGAGTTGAGTCACAGAGAGCAAGTCAGCGGGGTACCGGTAAGTTGGTACCAGGTTGGGAGCGAGCTGGGACCGACTCGCTCTTGACTAGCTCCAACTGATTCATGACTCTCTCCATACTGATTCACTGCTGACTCGCTTCCGACTTACTCCTCTAACGTCTCACTCATGACTACTCGCTCTGACTGATTCGCTCCAGATTCATTCCCAACTCGCTCCTGACTCTGTGCATGCTTACCCCTGACTTACTCTTTACTCGCTCGACACTCGTTTACATCGAACTCACGTCTAGTTCTCAACTCGCTCACACCAACTCTCTGCAGATTGACTCTCGACACTCTCCATTACTCACTCGCTTTTTACTCACTCCAAACCCATTCACGTCTGGCTCCCGACGTGCTCCGTCTGACTCCCAACTTGCTCCCACGACTTGCTCACATCAACTCGATCGCATTAAGGGGCTGCAGACTCATTCCCAACTCGCTCCTTACTTCAATTCTATCTCACGAATCGCTCGCGTCAACTGGCTCCTGCACTCATTGTAACAGTCATCAAGCACAAATATGGAAGTCAGATTCTGTAGCAGCCCAGGCTACTACTTACAATCAGATAATCATGTCTTGGTGAAGGAGCATTTGGCTCACGATTGTTTTTTTTTTTGTTTTTGTTTTTTGTGTGTCTGTTTTTGGCCGCACGTCTATATTTAGTCGTGGCACTAGGTGGCGTTCTTGCTGTGTTGCTGTGTAACCCCGGCGCGGCATCTGTTAGCACTCGGAAGCTAACGAGTGCTAACAACACTGATTATCCCGTGTGCATGTTGGCACGCTACAAGACGGCGATGGAAGCGGGCCAGTTGACTGTCATCCAACGCTTGTCCATCACTTTGATAGACGATCGGTGGCAAATTTGATCGATGTGAGACGGATGACCTTCATCAACGTCACGCTTCACACTCGTTAATTCACGTCCATTTATCTTCTCTTCCGCTTCTTTCTCATCATTTCTCTGATTCATTGTGTGACATCCTGACTTCTCGAATGCGCCGAGAGGTGTTCTTACGGCTCGTTTTCTTTCCGGTGACTAAATGCTAATTAAGCGAGCGGGAAATCAAATGTAATTAAAGTCCGGCTTTCCTGAAGATGAGGTTACACCAGGGCGTCGCTTCTCCCACAGCATCACGTGGAAATATGCTGAGTCAGCGACAAGAATAGGAGCACCTCGTCATCATCTGGAATAACAACACTTCTCCATGACAACATGCAAGAGTTGATGGAACTTGTGAGCATGGCCTTAAGTTAAAGATGAGCGTTGTGGACTTTTAAGTCAGATTTTTGTCATAAAAATACGATTTGGATACATTTTCATCTCCTCCATCTACACAGAAGGCAAATGATCATGAATTATTTACAGCAAGTGTTGCTTTCGTTTTAATTCTCCTCCTGGGATGTTATTTCTCTTTTTACCAAACAAGCCTTGAAAAAGTTGCCTTCAAAAGGGCCCCTTATAGCTTAATGCTAACAAAAATAAAATATGCCATTGTCATGCTAGCGGTTGACATATATTCGTCGTCGTTTTGCAGCTCTTGAAGAAACAGATATTTGAACACAAATGGTCGAACAAAACACCCAGACAGATAATATAATGATACTCAATGTCTCATATTCTTTATCGTCTTTGAAGAAAATTACTAATAATACAGTTGAATATTCCGATATTTCTATTACTACTTAGTCCCAGAACAGTGATGGGCAAATTAAATGTTAGAGGGGGCCACCATTTTTCAAATCGCCAAAGGGCGGGGCGCACTTCCTAACCAGTGATGTCTGCCATCTAGTGGTGAATGGTGATATTACATTTCAAAACGATAAAGTGGACCCCCGCATTTCATAGGGGATAGGGACCAGGCCAGCCCCAAAATCGTATCAATAAATGTAATATAATGATATATAATAAGAATTACATATAAAAATTGTATTATAACGGTGATTAACGTTAATTAATCCACACAACGGATTACTCGCCTAACTTTAAAATCCACGTGAAACTTCCCACATCATAGTCCTATGTAATGATAAAAATCAATGTTTTCTCAAGCAATCGTACCGCCGCTCCTCCCCTCTCTGGGGACCTTTGGGACAACCTGGCGAGGAAACTCATTATACTCTGCCAGGCCCGATTAACTGCCGTCTCCCTAACGTGCACTAATGGAGCCAATTAGCGCCGCTAATCACGCTCGTTTGTTTGACATCAGTCGGACCGCAAAAGCAGAAAGCGCTCCCGTCAGAATTCCGCCGCTGGCTGGGCTAATCTTCCTCTCAGCAACTTTCCACCTGTCAGCAGAAGAAGAAGAGACAGCGATCAGATGTGCCGGATAAACATTGACGTCAGCACAGTTCTCCGCTTGAATGTGATGCATGGAAAAGTTACTGTGAGATGAGTGCCGGGTTGCGAAGGGGTGGGAAATTTCTGGCGTATAGGAAGGCCGAAATGGCCCCCCCCATTTTGTGGGTTCCAAGATTGTGGTGCTGCGATTTCGCAGAATGCAATGTTTTTGGAATTAGACCACCTGCGCCTGAACTTAGACCAGCTTTTTTCACTGAAAAAAGTATTTTTTTAAAAAATCTTCAAGTAGGTCAATCTGCGGGTGCCACAGTGCACGTATGTGGTGGTCTACTGTAGCAAGTTTGAAAATCAATGAATAATCTTGCTTATTCATAATTTCATTGTCCATCAAAATTATTGGGATTTATAATTTTTTTTCTCCCATAGTCGCCGAGCGCTATTGTTGATCATATTTTTATGATGTTTTCAGAAACATCTTTCAGATCTTTTTTAGTTTTACTTTCACCAATAATATTTAGAACATACTTTAAAATGATTTTTCAAGGATTTTTTTTTTAAAACACGCTTTGACATAGACGCTTCGATCTACTTTTCAATTCGATGAGAAGTTTGTGAAGGTTCCGCTTTTCTCGAGCTTTCCCACACAAAGGACACGTCCCGACCTGCTGCGTTTGCAATCTGTTTATTGGATCTCGTCAGTAAGTTGCTCGTTAGGAATCCTCAGGGGGTGCGGCCCAGAAGGGGGGTGGGCGCCAAAGCTTCCCGCGGGCTCCGCGGATCGGAGCGGATTAATGGCAGCAGCGCAAAGAACTTTCTTTCGTAAGAAGGACAGGCAACATGGCAAAAAAAGCTCATTGAAGAAAATCCAGAAAAAAAAAATTGCTTTGATCATTAAACTCCACAAAAGAACGTCTTGATTTTAATATGACTTTGTTTTGCCTATATATATATATATATATATATATATATATATATATATATATACTGTATCATATAAATATGGATATAGATCTATCGATATATAGATCGATAGCTAGATCGTACTTGAAGGAAAACGGGAAATAGCATCAATTGTCCTCCATGTGATCTTGACGTTGAGAGGCGTCAAGGACATGATGGTCACCAACGTCAATACACACTTAGTAGTGTCTCCTGAAAAGTTAGATATTTTTAAAATTACCGGTAACATGAAATTTGGTGGACATGTCGATCGTAAGAAAAATCTTAAGGAACCATGCCTGGAATTGAACAGAAATTCGGCCATCTTGATTTGAAGCAGCCATTTTGAATTCAGTCACATCATGCGGAAAGTTCAACAAAATTAAGCTCCAGTCACCAGTTTTACCAACTGACATGAAATTTTGTGGACATTTCGATTCATAGCAGGACAAACGAAAAAGTCTCAGTAACCCATGCATGAAATTGAACTTTCAGTGCCTTTTATTTTCACTTCGTCGGTCTGTCCCAAAACTTGTATCCATGTATGTAAATATTTGTTCGGGTTTCAAATCTGCCATTGACAGAACATGTCACAAAATCCAGAATGTTTTCAAGCAAGCAGAACGTGTTCATTCATTTATTCATTTATTCCAAATTCACTTAAAGAGCTTGTGTTGCATTTTTCCCCTTCGAAATGTGAAGCGTGTTATATCTATTCTGCTGATTCAGCAAAAAAAAGGGGTTGCCGGGCCACCTGCAGTTACATTTTCAAGTGAAAGTGTGCTTCCCCCTAGTGCTCAAAATCTGTCCCTACACATCTTTGTACAACTAGGAATGTTTTTTTTTTTTTAATGAAGTCACCTATGCGTGTTTGCAGATTTCTGATCGTCCTGGGCTGTTTAATTTTGGCTGTGTTGACAACCTTCAAAGAGCATGAGAAGACGTCAGCTCATTGGCTCGTGGTTCTGGTGAGCTTTTGCACTCACGCACTCACACACACACACACACACACACACACACACACACACACACACACACACACAAACCTGACGGTGTGTTTTTGGCCTTTCCCAGGAGACGTTTGCCATCTTCATCTTCGGGGCGGAGTTTGCGTTGCGCATTTGGGCTGCAGGATGTTGCTGTCGTTACAAAGGATGGAGAGGGAGGCTCAAATTTGCCCGCAAGCCTCTTTGCATGCTGGGTAAGGACGTCCACCACATGCTCATCCTCTGCGTCCTAAACACTACGTGTGGATTTTTATACAGTGGACTCACATAGTACCATAAAATACTCCTGTGAGTGGTTAGACTATTCGATTCATCGTTTGACGCTGTAGTTGACTCAACTTTGTAGTCCACCCTATAAAAATCACTTTCTAGTGATTAGGGTGTTTTCGATGTGTCATTTCAGTCCCAGGGTTCTATTTTCTTTGACAGTCACACGTGTGTTTCTCATAAAATCTGGCACATGTTCATTTTCGTGACAGGGCAAGTCTGAAAATTTGGTGCCAGAAAGTCCTCATATTGGGGACGATTTCATTATTTCAGCTGTTTGGTGGGTCGGAAAATGAGTGAAAGACTGCGAAGACAGCCGCACTATGTAACGTTTGTGACATTATGGGATGGTGCAGACATCTTCGTTCTGATGGCGTCGGTGCCGGTGGTGGCGGTGCGTAACCAAGGCAACGTGCTGGCCACGTCCCTGCGCAGCCTGCGCTTCCTGCAGATCCTGCGCATGTTGCGCATGGACCGGCGAGGAGGAACCTGGAAGCTTCTGGGCTCGGCCATCTACGCGCACAGCAAGGTAGGACGCCACGCCCCCTGGGGGACTGGAGCCAAATGACAGCAGGGCACGCCGGCGCTTTCTCACATTTCCCCCCAAATGTTTTATTTTTTTTGCTCATGTTTGCTGCTGAAATGTCCTCTAGTGCTTTACTGAGCTTTTTATAGTTCCCATGGACTACTAAAATCCTCTCATATAATTGCGCATGGGAGCGTGTCAACACGTGTGAAAGGTTATCGCAAATGAGAGTTGTGCGCGCGCTGCGGCACGTAGGAGCTGATCACGGCCTGGTACATCGGCTTCCTGTCGCTGATCCTGGCGTCCTTCCTGGTCTACCTGGTGGAGAAGGACGACGTGTCGCTGGACGTGTCCGACCAGGACGACACCGCCGCCCAGCCCAAAGCTCAGGATTTCGACACGTACGCCGACGCGCTGTGGTGGGGGCTGGTACGTAACGCGACGCGAGGTAAAGCCGGCCCCTGCGGCGTGCAAAGATCACAAGTTGCTTCGCGGTGTGCTGGCGTAGATCACGCTGACCACCATCGGCTACGGCGACAAGACGCCAAAGACGTGGGCGGGGAGACTTTTAGCCGGAACCTTTGCGCTGATCGGCGTCTCCTTCTTCGCTCTGCCTGCTGTACGTAACCGTGGCTATTGATCATGACACCCTGATGTTGTCCCTGTGATTTTGTTCCATTGATGATGTCACGTTCATGATATCACTTTAGTGATGTCAGATTTTTGATTTCACGATAATGATGCAATGATGTCATGTTGATGATGTCACATTGAAGATGGTCCGTTGATGTCACATTGATGATGTCACATCGATGACCTCACAGTGACGATCACGTCACGTGAATGATTTCACGGTGATCATTACATTGAGGACACACTACGTTGATGATGTCATATTGATGACATCACAGTGATGGTGTCACATTGAGGTTTGATTTTTGTTACATTGGATGATGTCAAGGTTGCTGATTTCACATCGATGACACGATGTGATGTTGATGACGTCACCTTGATGATGTCACAATAATGGTTTCACATCAATGTCACATTGATGATGAGATGATCGTCATGTTGGTGATGTCACACTGATGGTGTCACATTGGTGACATCACATTTGATGCCACATTGATGACACGTTGACAGTGATCTCCCCTTTTGCACATGTCACAATCATGGCATGTTGACAGTCACGTTAATGACGTCCTGATGATGATCATTCCTGTGACATCACGTCACATTGATGACATCACATGGATGATGTCACATTGGTGATGCAGGGTATCCTGGGTTCTGGTCTGGCCCTGAAGGTCCAGGAGCAGCACAGACAGAAACACTTTGAGAAGAGACGCCATCCGGCCGCCGGGCTCATCCAGGTGAGAGGAGAGGAGACCCCGTCGGCTTGCTCTCGGCCAGCCGATTGGACAACTGTCCGTGTGCGTGTGTCTATTGCAGTCGGCGTGGCGCTATTATTCCACCAATCCAATCAGGGAAGACCTCATCGCTACGTGGAGGTTCTACGAGACCATCATCTCACTCCCGTGCTTCAGGTGAGTTGCGTGGACGCATGCCCGCACGCACACACACACACACACACACACACACACACACACACACACACACAAAATATCTTTTTTTTTTTTTTGGGGTGTTGTCAATTAATCCAACTGTGTTATTGTTTTTTTTTACACATTTGTCTTTGTCTTTGTGATGCCCACGCAGGAAGGATCACCTTGATGTCATCACGAGGTAGGGACAAGCCATGACAGCTGACAGGTTGTAAGACAACAGTCCTTTCAGACAAACAATAGACTGGTCGCCAGTCGATGGCACTGCGCATCAAGCTAATTCGAGTTAACGAAAACAAACAAACTAACTCCCAATTGAAAAAAAATTTTTTTTTTGTTTACGAAATAAAACAAAAACGAAAATGCTAAAAAAAAAAAAAAAAGACTAACCGAAGACTGACATTTCTAAAACAAACTAAAATTCAAACAAGCTATAATTAAAACGAATAAAAACTCAAACTTGCTCTAAAAAAAAAAAAAAAAAATTAAAACTCGCTACACTTGAAACACAGAAGTCCAAACAGAATAAAAAACGATCATGAAAATCCCAAATTGCTTTAACCCCGGTGCACATACAAGCAACTGGTCGCCAACTGACGTCGAGGAATTGACAGAGAAACAAGGTTAGGAGCTGTCCCAATACTTTTGTTTGCTCCCTTTCAGTGACAAACAACCAGTCGGCTTGTTAATTTGGTTGATCCGCACCAACTTCTCATCATCCTTTTGTAGCCAGCATTCTGCGGGCTGCCTTCTTCTTTTTCTTCATCTTCTTCTGTTGCTTTTCCAAAGCCCCAAAGAGGCGGACATTGTTGTTGCGTATAAGAGCGGGCCGTGGCGGTGTCGGGTTTGGCCCCCCGGCAGGAGTCTCGTTTTCCACCGAGTGCTCTAGTCTTTGTGCCGCCCAACAATCGCTGGACAAACAAAGCGTCTTGGTGTCTTCCGTCGCTGCCAGGACGCATTGTGGTGTCCCTCAGACACGGCAAAAGTCCCACGGGGTCTTGGCTCCTCCATATGGCGTCCGCTCGCTGCTATCCCAACCTTCAGCCAAGGCGCCAGAGCACATGTTTGGAAAATCTTGCGGCAGACCAACCTCACAAAAAGTAGAAGAACAATTTTATTTTTTTTGTAGAGGAAAAAAAAAGTCACATCCCAAAGCATGTTGCTGCCACACCCAAACGTTTCACCTTCTATCATGACAAGTTTCACAAGAACGCGAGCGAGCATTTATGCGACATTTGAAAGAAAGTAAATGGCCAGGTGTTAAAAAAAAAAGTGTGATTTAAAAAAAAAAGACAAACATAACCTTCATAGTCCTCCCACAGGAAGCTGAACCGGAAGCAATTCGCTTCGTTTTGGTTTGCCAAATGCCAGTTCATCTTTTAACATCATAATCGTTAAATCGTGAAATGAATTATACATCATAATGTGAAACTTTCCACATTAAAGTGTGAAACTTCAATTCATTTGTCAAAATGTGAAATTTGTCACTTAATGATGATAAAACATGAAACTCATCACATTAAAACATAAAACTTATCACATTTCAATGTGAAATTTATTTGCACCCCATATAAGTTCCCAGCATGTTTATAGTAGCATTGTTTTTACTGCATTTTTTATTGAATTAAGACTTTTTTCAAAAACATTCAGTTAGTTTTAATTAGTTTTTAGAGCAGGTTTGTCAGTTTTTTCACAAAGGCTTTGTTTTAGTTTATTCAGTTAATTTTCATTTGGTTTTACTTTTTTGTTAGTTTTAATAAATGTGTGTGTGTGTGTGTGTGTGTGTGTGTATATATGTAATATAAAATGCAATATAAAAAGTAAGTATTGTGGGATAAAGTTAAATAATTACAATTCTCCAAAGGCTGTTTGACCTTCCTTCTTCTGTTAGAATGTATCGCATTACCGAAATAAGAATATTTCAAATGAACCCCAAAAGTTCATGAAAAGCTATTATGATAAGATGAAAACGAAGGACATATACACTGTAATTAGAGATTGTTTTCATTAGTTTCATAGATTTACATTGTAGTTTAATTTTAGCATTTTTGTGTTTATTTTATTTTGTGAACAAATTTTTTTTTTCCCTATCGTAGTTGTTTCCTCAACTATAATAACCTTGGTCCCCAGCAGTGTCGTTCGTAACCATGACAACCATGTGGTCCATCAGCCAGAAGATGACGCTGCTGGAGCGCGTGCGCCTTCCTAACGCGCGTCCAACCATGGCGGCGGTGGCAGTGGCGGCGGGTAGGAAGATGGCGGCCAATGCCGAAGCGCTGGAGGAAAGTCCCTCCAAGGAGCCCAAGCCGGCCGGGTTCAGCAACCGCGAACGCTTCCGCACCGCCTTCCGCATGAGGGCGTCCACGCTGCGCCACAGCTCCGAAGGTACGGCGAAAAAAAAAGTGCTTTCATGTCCGTATGATGACTAATACGGTTGCTAATTCCATTCGGACCGACTTTGAATGAATGGAAGCAAGTCAAAAATAAAGTGTGTGCAGCAGGAGCACTTCTAGTCATCAGCGTTGCGTTGATAACCGCAATGAAATGTTGCGGCAGATGCAGCGGCACTTGCAGAGGCGGTCACGGAGGAGCGCGGCTTCCCGCCCGACATCCTGTTGGAGGAGATGATCCCCACGCTCAAGTTAGCCATCAGGGCCGTCAGGTTTGCCGCTTGCCCGTCGTGTGTTCTCGGCCAACAAAGGTGAGACGTGTCCCATTTTTTTTTGTGCGTGCGTCAGGATCATGACCTTCCTGCTCAACAAAAAGCGCTTCAAGGAGACGCTGAGGCCTTACGATGTCAAGGACGTGATCGAGCAGTACTCGGCCGGACATCTGGACATGCTCTGCAGGATCAAGTACCTTCAGACCAGGTGAGTCGTGGCTTTGAAATTTGTTAGTCTTTGTTGGTTTTCATTTTTTTGAAAAAAGGTTTTGTTTTAGCTTGGTTTTTATTAGTTTTAGTATTAGCTTTTTCGAAAATTATATGAAGTGTTTGTTGCAAGAAAAGACAAAAAAAAATCTGCAAGACAGTAAATCACAATTCTCAAATGACTGACCCTCCTTTTTCTGTATCGTCATACAGCAACATCGAAATAAAAACATTTCTGCATGATATTAATTAACAAAGACAGAAACAAAGGACAGTATTCACCAATTTGAGAAGCACCAGAGCAAAACAATACGCGGAGTCTTTACGAGTTTTAGCAACCCTCTTCTTTCAGAATCGACATGATTCTGGCACCTGGAGCCCCCCTGACCCCCAAACAGAAGAAACCTGTCAAGCCACCCTTTAATTACCCCAACAGCCAGTCGCCCAGGTGGGCCCCAACCTCAACTTTGGCATCTGAACACGAACACAAGGTCCAAGGTGATCAACAACTGCGTGTGCGTGTGTGCGTACGGCTGTGCGTGTGTGTGTGTGTGTGTGTGTGTGTGTGTGTGTGTAGGCATGAGTCCTTCTTGTCCAAAGCCCACTCCATGGCAGAAGCTGAGGACCAAAGCATGATGGGAAGATTTGTGCGTGTGGAGAGGCAGGTGAGCAAATGCGGCCACAAATAAATAAATGATCAATTCCGCTGCATCTCCTTCAGTCGAGCTCAACGCTGCCAAGCATCTTGTGGCGGAATGTGGTACTACACTAAAATTTTCTGCCCTGTGATAACAGTCTCCCAATTTACGACACTTTTTTTTTTTCTCTGACTTGACAGCACAGACTCATGAGTGACATTTGGTATTTCTCTTCCTGGCTCAGAAAGCTCCTCTTTGTTTTTGGAGAGATTTCATGATCAATATTTTTATCGAATTTCTCCACCTGCTTCAGGTAGAGGACATGGAGAAGAAGTTGGACTTCCTGGTGGACATGCACATTCAGCACAGCGAGCACCTGCAGGTGGACTCAGCGGGCGCCGCCCACATGACCCTGGAGCCCTGCCACCCCCCGGCAGACGGAGACAGCCGTCGGCTCTTTCTGAACTACGGCGAGGGTTTCCCGCAAACATCATACCGGCCGCCCACCGTCGAGGCCGGACCGGCCGGCGGAGGAAGCGGCCGCTCTCAGGGCCAACCGCGCCCGCCGTCCTCCGTGCCCACCTACACGGCGCGCCCCACCGTGCTGCCAATCAGCTCTCTGCAGGATATGTCCGGGGGCTGCGGCAGGACCACGGGGGGACACGCTGGGGGTCACGAGGGCGACTCGCCGCTGTCGCTGCTGTCGGTGAACCACGAGGAGCTGGAGCGTTCGCCCAGCGGCTTCAGCTTCTCCGGCGGAGAGCGCGACGGCGAGGAGGAGGAGGCGGCGGGGGCGGCCGTGGCTGGGGACGGCGGCTCCGCGGCCGACAACCAGACGGGGGCCAAGGAGGAAGGCAGCCGGACCCGGCCCAGACCCAGACCTGTCTACCTGGCGGAAGGCGAGACAGACACAGACACGGACCCCTTCACGCCCAGTGGGGGGCCGCTGCCCCTCTCCTCCACGGGGGAGGGGCTGGGTGAGGCCGTGTGGAGTACGCCGCCCTGAGTTGCCCACCTTTGGTCCATCCTCGACTCGAAACCTTTAATCCAAGCCACGCCTCCACACTTACACCCCTGTGAGGATGTCCGCCACCACGATGCCGGTGATGTCGTCAGTTGCAAAAAGGTGGAACATTTTCTGAAAATTTGGAAAAGTCCCATGGGAAGTTCTGGGAATTGCTCAAACGTTCCCTATTAAGATTGAACCTTTAGTTTTGTAAATCCCTGGTTCGTTCATTCACATGAAAAAGTCTCCCGAATCCCCGCCCCCCCCTCCAAAAAGATTTTGCAACTCTCGTACTCAGTGATGTCATCCGTGATGTCACAGCGGTGTGGGTGGGACTGTGGAGAAGGAAGCTTTACGCCGCTGCATGTGACGCATGCTCACTAGTGTAGATGCCGGCCTGCAGCAGGGCGGGAAGTGCTGGATGACGCTCTCAACTGCTATGCCATTCAAAAAAAAAAAAAAAAAATCTTTCATACACATCACACATATGTACACTACATGTATAGACAATGCATCTCGAAAGTATCCTCGATCCATTTTGGATTCAATTATTTTCTCTCAATATTTTAAAAGTCTGTAAAATTAACCAATGCAAAAAATGTTGAGACTTTTAAATTGACCACATGCAAAAATTCTGACAGCCGATTAATTTCAGAAATACATCATGAATAAAATCATTTGCTTCTTGGTCCCTGATATGCGCACAGCAAAGATTTTGATTACAGGAAGAACATTTGACTGTTTTACAAGAGCTTTGTTTAACTTTGTTATCAAGATCGGAATTTCTAATTACAATCCCGCCCTCAAAAAAAAAAAAAAAAAAGCATTCACGAATGAAAAGATCTTGAGTGAATGTCTGCGGTATGGAAGCAACATCATGAGTGGCATTACCAGCAAAACATGATTTCTGCATGGAATCCCATTTTTTCTGTGCCATTCGTTTCTTGGAGTTGACCACTTTAAAATAAAACGCAGAGACTAGTTTTGCAAAAGTTGACTTTTTTTTTCTTTTCTTGACCTTCTGACTTAAGTTACGAGTGCTTACAAGTGCTGTGTGGTGACGGTGAACTCAAGTCGATTCTAAAATTAAACACAAACGAAAGGCAATTACACTACACCTAAAACAGCCAAACATCCCGCTAGCTTAATGCTAATGCTATCAAATATGGTAAGGTACTTACACCCTTTAAGAAACCGACCCAATGCAAACAAGATACATAATGTAAAAGTACTCAGTCATATTTTCTTTATCCTCCGCATAGAACCACGAATGTTAGTGCTGTACCGATGAGCTCAATGAAGAGTTGAAACGTTATTATGAATACCACTTGAGTTCATTTTGGAATAAGGCTGTGACAAAGTGTGAAAAAAGTGAAACGCTGTGAAAACTTCCAGGATGCACACAACACGTATGTACACGGCACGCATGTACATAACACATATGTACACGACGTACATGTATGTACACTTTTAGTTTGCATGCATGCATGCTAGAACGCCATCTAGTGGCCATACTCAACCAAAAGATTCACGTGTGAGCGTGTTTTGTTGTCTGTATGTCATGCCGACGAGTGAGCGGTGCTACATTGTCACATGACTTTGTGATTGACAGCCTCCAAGTGTCAATCAGTGTGATGTCCAATGTGCCAAAATAGTTTTTTTGGGTTTGTTTCTATTTTTTTTTTTTACAACTTTTGATTGGTCCCGACTGGGCGTCGCTATAACAACAAGCCATCATCTTACTCTTTACAGAAGCCACAAACGAGCTTTGGAAAATCAGTGAAATAAATTCAATATTTTGTGGAGATTTTCTAACGTATCAAAAGTATTTTCTAAGACGTTCAAGCCTTTCTAGTCTGTCGCCTTGTTGTCATGTGATCTGCTGGGCGCGTCCTCATTGGCCCCGACCTTTGACGCGCTCTCGTTTTCCAAGGCAACCAGCGACAAGCTCTGGGCGCTAACGACATTGACAGGAAGTCAGAGGCAGTAGCCTTTGTCATCGTCATCATCATCATCATCATCATCATCATCATAATAATAGTCAATTAATTCATATACTGTAAGTAATAAAAAGTTACCACGCCTTTCATTCATGGAACACGAATCCATGGATCCTAATGTATTCATCATGCAGCTTTGCAGCGCACACTCATTTATGAGGATTATAACTGACATTTATTTACGACTCCTGATTGACAAGTATTACCGTAGAAGTGCGACATTGTGTTTGTGGCTCCATGGGGCCAAACCACATGACGACTTTCGACTGAACATCACAATATATATCACGTCAATAATCGTCATTTTCACGGCCGTCATCACACGTCACAGGCTTCGGCTCGCCGGCCACTTGATTAGGAACACCCTCGGCAAGACAGGAGAGGGTCAAAATATTAGGAACAGATAAAATGCTCTCTTGTTTTTCTGATATGGTGTGACATCACTATTGTGTACCTAATGAGGTGTCTGGCGAGTGTTGATCGAGTTCTGAATGACATCTTGATCATCTCGAACTGTCTAATGACGGAGCATTGACAGCTAGCAGCATGACTCGCCTGTATTCTTATGCAATCACATGTACTCTTTTTATACTTAAGTGTAGATTTAAGAGTTGAACATGAAAGACGTTATTTTCTGCATTCATTCTTGATTGTGCCACAGGGATCGTTGAGGCACGACATGTTTTACAAAATCGTGTATGAAAACGCGTTGGACGACGTGTAATGGCGCGTTCGAGGAGACGTTTGGTGACACGTTCAACGACACGGTCGATGACATGCTTACTGACATGTTTGAGGACGAGTTTGACGATGTGAAATGTTTGACGACATTGAAAGAAATGCTCAACGGCATGTTGGATGACATGACATGTTTGAGGACTAGTTTAATGTGATGACGTGTTTGACAACATGTTTAAACAACATGCTTGTGAACATGTTTGATGACACCGATTACATTTTTATTGACATGTTTAATGTCATCTTTGATGACAGACGATATTTACAAGGGACAAAGAGTGCGTATTGTATAATCAAACATGTACGTGAAGATGAGCAGTGGTTCTCAATATGAGCCCTGTGGAGCATCTGCATTGTCAACTACTTTGTATGTTTGTTTTTCATACATCATCAGCTGATCAGTTACCATGAGCTGCCGTGTCACATGATCAACTAAATGAGACGATGAACATACTTTAAAACCGTTATAATTAACATGGAATAAAAAAAGCTGCTGAAACAACATTTTTACTTTATGACACTCTGGAATGATTGTCTTCTTCATCTGCTAATGGAGCCTCCACATTTTAGTTGTATTTTCTTGAGATCTTAAAATCAATTTTTAATTTTTTTTTAACCAGTCTTGATATTTTGAGTACGCGGAAACAGTGAACACGTGAATGTTTGTTGACACTCCACCGAAGGGATATGATCATTTTGTCGTATTCATCAGTGAAGTTTATTTTGTCACCATAAAGTGTTCTCTCGACGTTTCTTCTGTTTCACAAAGAGGATGAAATTGGTCATCCTCATTTGAATATTGATGAGGTGCTTTTGCGGTTTCACACGTGCGCTAAGTGAATGTCGCTCCCAGAAGGTTCTGTACCGGCCCTCTCAATGATTGGTTCCCTGCCGATTGACACTTCCTGTTCTTGTCGTTTGGACGAACAGAAACAAGTTTAGCTGGTCAACAGCAGTCCAAATCACCTAATTCACACACACACAAAAAAAGCCATAAAATATTGAAAATGTGTATGCGTGTATGCGTGCCATGTGTTGATCCGTCATGATGGTGTTTTGTTGGTTCTGATCCAACCGTGAGCTGAATCTTTTTGGACCTTTTGATTGCTACCAATGATTTGTGCCTTGGCCTTTACACATTCATTGTTTTCTTCTTTTTTATTTTATTTTGTTTTTTTTTAATGTGCGTTAGTCTTCGGCCGCAGCTGCCAAGTCGCATCACAACGTCGTCGTGTGACGAGGAACAAAACATTAAAAACCACTTTAACGACAACATATAACCTGATGTGTGTATCTTTATATCTACTCTGACAGCCAGTAAACAATGCTAAGCTAAGCTAACATACGCTAAGCTAACAACCATGATATACTGTCTATTTAAGCTTCTAGTGTGCATGTGAACATGCACGACGATAAGATCTGAGGAAACTTTGTGCCAAACGAAACGATGACATTTCCTAGCTAGCGTGAGTACTGACGTGTTGCAGCTAGTCACGCTACATGCTAGTACGCACGTTGAATGCCAGAAGGAAGTCTGTGAGCTACTTGGCGGCGGGCGGCTCGTTTTCTTTCCACGTTAAGACAAAAAGTGACCTTCACGTGTCCTCGCAAACATGTTCATCAGATGCAAATATGCAAATTGTTGTCGTTACTGTTACGATCATGTGTTTTTTATGAACCCTTCTCTTTTCAAGTGCACCACTTATTAACAATAAAAATCTCTCAAGTGACAACAAGGTTGCGTCCTGTTCTTGTTGGGTCACACGCACGCACACACAGGGGGCACCACTCCCCCCGCCCTAAAAGGTCCAATTAGCTTGTGGTTGTCGACTCAGGTGACAGTGACTCAGCTAGGCAGTGCAGTACTGGTCCACTTCGATGTGAGCCCACTTTGGATAACTTCTATGTGAGTCTCGTTTGTTTTTTTTTTTGGTTCTGGTTCTAAGAGACTAAGGGAGTCTACCTTGGTTCTGTATTGTGAGTTCAACCAAAGTCTACTTTAGTCTTGCTTTGGGCCAGTCCAATTTGGTTCTGGTTGGACAATATGTGAGTTCTACTTTTGTTTGATTCTGTTCTGTTGGTCTGCTTCTTTGTAAATGGACTTTGGTTCTGATTTCAAGCAAGTCAATTCTGTGTCCCTCTTACTGGTATTGTTGTTTCGTATCTTTGAGTGCTGCTCTCATTTAACGCTGGGGTGACGTTCCAGAAACTCCCACATCAGATGACATTCTTGAAAGTGGCGACCAAATATATATATTAAAAAATGATCTATTATATGTGTGTATATATATATATATATGTCTATATTTATATATATATATATATTTATGAAAACTTTATCCATAAAAGAAATGCAAAATATGCATTTGAGGTGCAGTTATCATTTTGTCCACTTGCTGGCGCCATCACACATTCTACACTTTTGTATCTGTGACTTTGACTGTATGCGCCTTTAAAAGGTGGGGCCTGGCCTGGAGAATGATGTGAGAGTCAGCAAAAAACTGAGAACAGAATTAGATGACAGACGATTTAAAAAATCAAACCAGAAAAAGTGAAACGTGAAGTGATGAGGGCCAACTGTATTATTATTATTACAGTATTTTATTATTATCATTATTATTATTGTCATGATGAGCATTCTTCTTATTGTTGTTGTTTATGTATTTATTTATTTATTTTAGTTCTGTTCAATGTTCATCAACTTTGTCTCCAATTGTATGGCAGTCCAAGTTGTCTGTCCGGTGGGTGGAGCTTCAACATGAAACTCATCATTTGTGTTTGTTTCCTGTTCATCTTCATCTTCCTCCTCCAACAAGGTAATGTGCTCGCCGTTGTCACTGTCAAATCATTTTTCAGATGTCAAAAAAAAAAAGTTCACTGACCTTAAATTGTCTTTGAAAGTTGAAAACGTGTTTCGAATTAAAAGGCTGCTTTCAGTTCAAATCCAGCAGTTTAACTCAAACAATTCAAGGTCAACTGACTCAATTTGAAGTTTCAACTTCTTCAGACAGCACAACCCGTGAAGATGTCAACAAAAGACACGTCAACCTAACAGGTATTTGTCATCATCATCATCATCATGATCATGGAGTCAAACTAACGTCTGCATATCAAAGCGTATTGCACGGCACAGGAAGTATATTGGAGCCTATCAGAAGCCTGATGAAAGTTATGGGTGGAAAAGACACAAATACGATGACAATAACAAATGACAAACGTTTTCCTTGCCAGAAATCACAGCCGACGCTATCGACCTGACGCCATTGGTCAACAGCTTGATCAGCTCCAGCCAATCACGTACGTTCGCCTGTTAGGGTTTGAACATTGGGTTTTAAACCCAGGATACGGTTTGAAAGTGGGGTTTCAAATTAGGGTTCGGGTTTCAAAGTACAGTCTCAAAGTCGGATGAAGGTTTCAAAGTATGGTTTGAAACTAGGGGTAGTGTTTCAAAGTCGGGTTTGGGTTTCAAAGTTGTGTTTCAAACTCGAGTTAGCGTTTCAATGTAGAGTTTAAAACTATGGTAATAGTTTCAAAATATGTTTTCAAAGTAGGGCCACGATTTTAAAATTGTTTCAAAAGTAGTGTGGAAGTCTAAAAGCACGGCTAGGTTTTCAACACAGGGGTTCAAATCAGTTAGTGTTGCAGGGAATGGTTTCAAATTCAACTCGGGTTTCAAAGTACTGTTCCAAAGTAGAGTTAGGTTTTCATTGTAGCTTTTTTTTTTTTTTTTAAACTAGAGTTAGGGTTCCAAATTAGAAGTAGGGTTTGAAAGTAGGATTAACGTATCTATCCAGGGTTTCAAACTAGGTTTAGGGTTTCAAATTTGAGTTGATGTTTCAAAGTCGGCTTGCGGTTTCAGAAGACAGTTTTAAATTGGTTTAGAGTTTAAATTATATTGATCACTCCTGGTCTACCTCCTTCCTAAAAGATGCATTTAATTTTTGGTACTTCCTGTTACCTGAATGCTTTTATATTTTTCTTCTTTTTGTTTTATTGCGGCTTTTATTTTGCCCAATTTCTCTCTCAATTTGGTTTTAAGTCTTTCTTTTTCCTGTCTGATTTAGAATGTTCTTTTTCTTTTCTTGTTTCATTAGAGCTTTTGTTTTGTTTACTTCTGGTCCCATTCACGCTTGCATTTTGCCCTTTTCTTGTTTCATTGGAGCTTTTATTTTTGTTTGCTTGTTTCGTTCACGCTTGCGTTTCGTCATCTATTTTCGTTGACCTTGAGACTTTCTTCTATTTCCTGTCTGAATGAAGCATTTATTTTGTCTACTCCCTGCCAGATTCTCAGACGCTGTTTACGCTGCTGAGTGTGACGTCATTCAGCCCGCTGTCTCTGCACAAACTGACGCTGCTCGTCTACAACAGTGCAACTAATCATCTTGTTATTATTATATTTAATAAGTGATTTGTTCATTTATGCATGTATTTACTGTGAAAAAAATGTGCAGTTTCTGGCAGTGAAAAAGTGGACCTGCGCGTGTTGAGGAGACGTTTGTGTTACTGCGTCACAAATGGCACGAATGATTTGACAGGTCTGGCTGCGACAGTAGCTATGATACTCAAAAAAATATATATACTGTATACTCAAATGTGTTTTCAAAGGAATGACCTACTTGTGTTTTTGTGTTTACAGACTTTACAGTTCTTCTTTTAGATGTCATGAAAAACTCAACAAGTTCTTTGCACGAAGTCTTCAAGTCCTCATCCATACTGTCAGGTGTGTGTGTGTGTGTGTGTGTGTGTGTGTGTGTGTGTGTGTGTGTGTGTGTGTTGCCAACAACGACCGCGTTGTTGGCATGCTAATGTGTGTTTATTTGTGTTAGTGAGCCAGAAGAACAACTCTGATTGTATTTACATTTGTGTGATGGCAGGCAACAAGGGTAACGTATATTCACCTTATTATATGTATCAATGTATGTATTAGTATACATTGATATGATTTCAGATGCACTTGATTGAAATGTGCGTGTGCATGTAGGCCCGGAGTTGTGGGAAGTGAGTGATGTCACAGCAATCTTCAACACAACCATTGTGGAAGGACCACTCAAAGGTTTGTGAACACGTCAAACAATGTTGTTTGGAAAAACGACAAAATATTGTAACTGTTGCTGATATGCGCGTGACATCAAACTTGGTTGTCAGGCGACAGTAACCGAACCAGGCCGGCAGGTACCAGCATTGTCACATCAACATACCGTCAAATGACGCAATCGTTCATTCACCGATAATTAAAAAAAAAATTACTGCAACGTGTGTATTGCGCGTGATATACACGTCGTACACCCTTGACCCTTTTTTGTAACTATTTGATGTTTCAGAGTGGCATCAGGCTTGGTCTGATCTGAATGTGGTTACGTCAACTGCAGCAAATATGGAGCCTGCCGGCAGAGTTCATTCTAGGGCGCAAGGTAATACCCTGGCCGCTGTGCCGCACTGCCATCGAGGGTCCAAGTCTGCTGCTGGGCTTGCAGCAGCCAACGGCACTTGTGCTTGTTTGTGCCACTCAAGAGTCGCCGGCGCCGAGAGCTCTGTCGCCTCAGACCACAAGACCCAGTTCGCACCGCACGCCACGCACTCCACACCAACAGCAACACGCTCAGCAGGGACACGGATGGGAGAGCCATCAGGAACAGCAACAGCAACCAGATGAACAAGGACAAAAGCAAGAGCTGAATCAGGAAAAACAAAAGGAGCAAGATCAACAACAGGGGAAAGAACAAGAATGGGGACATAAACAAGAACAGGTACAAGAAGAAACCCAAGCACAAAAACAACAAGAACAGGAACAAGAACTGAGACAAGAACAAAAACAAGGGCCAGGACAGGAATTGGAACAAGATCAAGAAGAACGGAAACAGAAACAAAGTTGGGATCAGGAAAGAGGAATGGAACAAGAAGAGGAACAATCTGAAGTACAAGAACAAATACAAGTAGAAGAACAAGAACCAGGACAGGGACAAGAACAGGAACGAGATCAACAACAGGGGAAAGAAGAGGAAGAGGTACCTAAACGAGAACAGGGACAAGAACAAACCCAAGCACAAAAACAACAAGAACAGGAACAAGAACTGAGACAAGAACATGAACAGGGGCCGGGACAGGAATTGGGAGAGGAAGAGGAACAAGGACAAGAAGAACAACAGGAAGACAAGCAAAGTTGGGATCACGAAAGAGTGCCGGGGCTGGAACAAGGAGAAGAACAATTTCAAATACAGGAACAAGCACAGGAAGAGGAACAAGAACCAGGACAGGAACAAGAACAGAAACTAGAAGAGGAACAATATCAAGAACAGGAACAGGTAGAAGAACAAGAACCAGGACAGGAACAAGAACAGAAACTAGAAGAGGAACAAGAAAGGCATTGGGAACAGGAACAAGAACCACAAAAGAAACAAGAACAGGAACAGTCTAAAGAATGGGGGCAAGGACAAGAATATGAATATGAAGAACAACAAGAGCAAAACCAAGAATTTGTTCCAAAAAAAGAACAGGAAGTACATGAACCACAGGAACAAGTTCATGGACAAAAACATGAACAAGAAGAAAAACAACAAGAATGGGAAGAACAAGAACAAGACTGGGAACAGGAACAAGAACAGGAAGACAAAAAGGAAAAAGAACAATATCGTGAACCGGTAACTGAACAGGAACAGGGACAAGAACAACATCAAAAACAAGAACAAAAAGAAAAACAAGAGTTGGATCAAGAACAAGGTCCAAGAACGGAACAGGAACAAGGACAACATCATGCAGGTGAGGAAAGTCTATTTGTGTTTGTGTGTGTGTGTGTGTGTGAGAGAGAGAGAGAGAGAGAGAGAGAGAGAGAGAGAGAGAGAGAGAGAGAGAGAGAGGCAGGCAGACAGACTGGTAACCATGGTAACAGACAGCAGTATGGCTGGACAGCTTCAAGATGAAAAAAACATTGGCATAATTTTTTTATCTTGTCTGTATGAATTAATGTAATATTGACAACTAATTCCGTTTTTGTTAGCGACAAAACATAAAAAAGATAAAAACAATCATTGGAGCGATCTTACGCATTTACATTTCATTTCTCATCAGTTCATAAATTGGCCAACAGATGGCAGTGACGTCACGTGAGACAGACAGCTGGACACCACTTCTCCCTAGCAACACTCAAGTGGCTTCACGTGCGATTTGTCACTCGCTCATTGTTGTGCACCACACACGCACACGCACACTTTTGTAAAGCAAATGACTTTCGAATGTAATTAAATGGACGCTTGAGTGCGCTTAATAGTAATGAATATTTCAACTGAGTTCAGGCCCACTCACACTTTTACCCCGAAAACAATTTGTATTAATCGAGTATTGGTTTCAAGTCATTGTTGAACAGAGGATTGTCCGAATGGTCAGATTTGAGCTTCTCGAAAGCAATTATTTTCGGATTTCCGTAGTCGTCCATGAAAGCAGACCAAGTGATTCTCTTTTGTGTTGGATCAAAATAAGGTTTTTGCAAAGGACTGCACTGACTTTGCAAAGCGACAACCATTTCACTGAATCTGTTTCAAAGAGCTCAATTCCTCTCGTGTAAGATTTAGCAATCTTCAATCAGCAAGATTTTAATTTAAAAAAAAAATCATTCGCTCATAAACACTAATAAGGCAGATTTTTTTAAACACACTTAAATGCAAAATTACAATTATTTCTGATTTTTCGATGAATGGATGGAATAATCAATAGAATACTCGCATCTAAAAATGTCTGCTGGTGACTACCCTATTTTTTTTTTCTACCGACGTCCAATGTTTGATTGGTGGTCAATGATTTAATAATCTCGTGGATATTGAAGGTTGTCCGAGGACGAGGTCCGTGGACATGGTCGCGGTTGCCGTGCCGACCGTCGGCATTGACAGGCTTCAGGCGTGCCTTCTGGAACTCTGCCGCTTTTTCTCCGTCTGCATGTGTGGACCGGTGACCGCGCGCAACAGGTCAGCGACGTAACAACAATACAAGCACTCCTCACAATCTTGCCCCTCTTCTTTTTCAATAACTCCTTCACAGTTACCGCTTTTCTTTGGGACGTTACATCTCTTCGGACTCTCTGACACATTTCCAACCAATCTTTTCTGATTCCATGACTCTTTTTCTCAGACGCTTCTTTGATGCTCTCAATCTCTTCTTTTACGATCCTGTTCCTTGACTTTTCATTTGTTCTTTTCGAACGCTTCTCTTCATCCTTCCATGACCCTTTCTTACTCATCTAAGACGTCATTTCAGGCTCTTCTTTTCTCCTTTCACTCTTCTTATATGACTTTTAATACATATCATTCATCTTCTAACTCATCTTTACTATCTCTTCTTTTGAATCTTGTTTTCTGGCTCTTTTTGGTTGTTTTTTTCCCCCCAACTAGTCTAAGTGATGACTTTTCTTTTCAGCCTCAGTCTCTTCACTTCTTTTCATCTGAAATTTCCGACTCTTTTTCTGACTCCCCATTTCTGACTTGTCCTTTCTAACTTTTCTTCATACCTGAAAAGACATCCTGCGTATTAAAATGTGACAGGGAAGTTGGAGGTTGTGTCGTTGAAGGTGTTAAAAGACACTTTTAGTTGACGGCAACAATAAAAGGCATGATGGAGGAGGCGTGTTTCCATGGCAACAGCCGGCGGCACGCCGCAGCATCCGGTAAAAATAGAACAAAACTCTTCCTTGCTCTTACAGTCATGACGCGGAGCGGATGTCTTTTCAAACATGTCTGTCATCTCTACACGCATCTCTGTTTCCTTCTGAAAATGACGAATCACGAAGGTGACCGTGTTTCTGTTCAGGTTGTGTGAGGACAGCAGCGTGTGGTACCGCAACCACACCAACGAACTGTGCAGACGAGTCCAAAGAATCTCCTTCTCTGCTAGTAAGTTACAAACGGGCGATACGTGTATGCGGTATCAACTTTATTCTTATCAAATCACATTTTCCGAAAACCTTGCGAAACCACGTTTGCCTCGCGTTGTCACGCTGCTGCGTGTGTGTGTGTGTGTGTGTGTGTGTATAGCAGTGAAGCAGACGTGTTTGATGAAGATGTGCGTGCGGCCGTGAGCGGAGACGATGCAACTCTTCATTATCATCATCGTCACATGACTGATGACATCAATTTTTTAAACTCTTCAGTTCTCCTTGTTCTTCAATAAAAAGAAAAAAAGCTCTCAGTTTCATGATGTGCTTTTGGAACACACACACACGCACACACACGCGCGCAATTCAGGATTACTCACACAGTTTTTTTTCCTCTGACATCCTACTTTTTGCAGTTTGGCATGATGCGTGAGAGGATGTCACTCGCATACTCTCATTTGTACATACATGCACACTTGAGGGCTGGTAGCAACAATGGAGTATTCCCTCTCACAATCCAGTGAAACTTTTTTTTTGCTCACACAATAGTGACATTCTTTAGCTCTCACACACTGCTTAAACAATCCCATGCGTGTGAAACTCTCACACATACTACCAACATTCTGGACCAGGAAGAAGAGGAAGCAAACAACCAGGAGCAGATGGCCCACAATACTTACACACCATCACTAACTCAAAAAAAATTGCTGTTTTTGATGACCGGTGTGCAAAAATGCGGACACTCAGTTACACTCAAGAAGACCTGGAAACTCGGGAGCACTTGATGGAGATTGGTGAAAACTTTAGACCTAGCGGAGAATCTTGAGGACGTGAATCACCCTGGGAACCAGCGCCCGACGATAATGATTGAAAAGTGTGATGCCAGGAGGAGGACTCGGAAGGAGGTGGAGGACGAAGAGGGAGAAGCAAAGTGAAAGCCAACAAGTGACTTTTGTTCCGTTCTGAATGAAGTTGCCACTTGAATAAAAGCAATGACTTGATTGTCGCCCCACTGAAGGCACCAAAGAAGATGCACTTTGCCAAGCCAGAGTGTCAAGTGAACTTTATTACTGGAACTTTGTCATGATTGAACAACAACAAAGCACAGAGTAACTTCCTTAAAGCGCTGACGCTCTACAGTCACATAAACACAGCAAAAAAAAAATATATATATATATAATAATATTTTGTGTCTATCATTGTTCTACTTGATCAGAAAAAAAAATGTGACCAAAACGAGAACGTTTGAGTCAATAAGGCGGCTGTCGAACGTCGCCGATGTCTTGCGGTTAAAATCGTCTGACATTTGGTATGCTTGAATCGGGGACGTGCGGTCAGGTGCATGGCTGGTCAGGCGCCGACAGAGTCAGATTTACAATTAAAAAATGTTTTTTTTTAAAAAATCTTACGCACGTGCAGTACTTGGGACACTCAGCGGTTTAGAGAGAAGGTATCGGCCATCGCTATCATCTTACTCATTCAATAGGCTAATCATTAGATCACTTTGTGGTGTGCAATAAAAAAAATAAAGTAAAAATTCTAATAAGCCAGTGTGCGTAACAAAAAAAAAAAAAAAAAAAAATTCTAATAAGCCAGTGTGCGTACCACTGCATTTGAAAAGAGTTGGCTATTTTCAGACCTGATGTGTGAAGCAGATTTTTAAGGTTGGTCTCCAGCGCATGTTGCATTTTTTCAGGGGTCCGTTGCATCAATAGGAAAGCGGCCGCCTCCATCGTTTCGACAGCTCGCCCATCTGTTTAATTAATCCGGTGTGGTGTGCCCGTTTATAACACTTGATGTTGATTACTTGTGCGTGAGGGCGGGCTCTTTTGTCCGTTTTGCTACATTAAATGGATTCGTCAATCAGTTGTTGGCAGAAAACTAACACAATGACATCTTTCTTGAGCGGCACTAAACGCCCCTCGCACACTTTATTTGACACAGTGCGGGCCCACAGACTTGCTCCCACGTTGCCTGCTGTTGAGCAGGAAATAAGCAAATCCAGCAATTTTAATGAGAAAATCATTGACAGTTTTTGATTCCAAAATAAAATCAGTATGAAGCACAGAACGGAGAACCTACCATGAAAAAGATTTTATTGGTTCATTCGTAGCGCGATGCCTCTCCTGACCGCACGTCCCCGGCTTGAGCGGTTCGTGAACGCAACGCGTCAACTGATTCACAAAGCCGCCGTGATGCGAAGTATCGGCTCGAAATCTGCGCACATAACATTTGCTGCTAGCAGACTAAGCTCAGCACATTTATCGGCAAATACAAACATAGTTATTCATTCACGAAGTTACTTTTTAAGTCCACGCTGAAGCGACATTACGACGTTAGCGTACGTTCGGTGCGACAACACGGGACAACAGACTTCCTGTCTTCTGCAATCAGATCAAGTGGGAACGGTGCAGGCCGTGATAGAAAAATAGATGATCTAGTGCTAAAATGACACATTCGCAAACTAAGACAATTGCTTAGGAAAAATCAACTCCTATGTCGGTACATTTTCGACTGCGCTTGATAAAATAAATCTTATTTGTGTGCATCATGCGTGCGGAGCGCCGTCGTCACCTTAAAAGCGACGTTAACATTCATATAGAGCCCGGCTTTTATTCTGAAATCCTCAAGCTGATGGGTTAAACCAGGAGTGTCCAAGTCCGGTCCTCGAAAGTCCTTAGCCAGCCAATTTTCGATGTTTAGGAAAAATCAACTCCTATGTCGGTACATTTTCGTACATACTCGTTCCTCTGTTTACTAAAACAGGCTGAATAGGGACTCTCGATGTTGAGACTTGGGCACGGTGGGGTGAAACGATCAACGTCCCAGTCCCACTCCCGGGTTGCACAGCGACAAAAATGAAAGACAATCAATGTTTGTGAGATCACAACAACGGGAGAGACGCTTTCTTACTACAACAGCTTCACTGAAACTTCCGCAAACATGTTCTTCAAACCTGTTCTTTAAAAACCCTTGAAAGAGTTCAACAAAGCTTAGGAAACTTGTTCGGACTTGTTAAAACTTCTTTTAAAGTCCGAGGAAGTGATTTAAGGTTGACTAAAGTTCACAAAACGAACGTTAACGTTGTGTAAAGTTCTTTCCGTTTCTTGGACGTTAATCCAAAATAATGAAACTTCGTTTTTTAATTCTGTTGTTGAGAAAACCGACATTAAAAGTTGTTCAAACTTTTCCGAAGTTCTTTAAGCAAACTTTTGTGATTTTGTTGTATCCTTGGGGTTCTGAAATTTCTTTCAAGTTCATTAAAATCCAAAACTTTTTGAGTGTTCTTTCAAGGTTCTTAACACTTGTTCAAAAATAATCAGCGCTTCCGAAACTTCTTCCAAGTTTCTTTCAAGTTCCTCCAGACATTTTTTTCCCTCTGCTCGTGCCACGTGTGAATCAAAGGACCAAAACAGCAAAGTGTTTTGCTTTCTTTTGGTAGCTGCCACTGAACACTTTTATACCGAGTGTCAAGCTAGTGATCAGAGCACATAACAAATGCCCAAAATGTTGAACTCGACGCTTTTAAGCCGACCGCTGAGTTGCTGGTGGGTGTATAAAGTCGAAGCGCTGCCCGATATGGTGACCGGATGATGTCATCGTGACATCATGTGATTGCTGATGATTATTTCGATATGTTGTGATATGAGTGACAAATGAACATCTTGGCTCACAAAGTCAACAATGAGTTGTTTTTTTTTTTTAAATCAAGTTTTACTGCCGCCTAGTGACTCTTTTGCCTTTTTAGTGCATTTCCAAGATCATGACGAGGATTTGGTGAGTGTACGCGTGATGTGTGTGGACACGCACTCAGTAGACGCACAGGTCGGGGAACTTCATCTCGTAGATTGGTACCGACTGGTGCTCGGCGTGACCCGAAGACACTGACACCACGCCAGATGGACTCGGTGGTGGTCTTGGGGGGAGGGGGAGATGGGCATTTCATGGGATTAGCTCATTGCGATGCTAGCGCGGAGTATTTATGTCATTAGGTACTCACCTGATGGTGAGTTCGAAGATGTGTGCCAGACGCTCATGTAGCATGTTGGCCTAGTCGGACGCACACGCACACGCACACACACACACACAGGTTAGGTGAGCAAAGACATGAGTATTGAATTGATAGTCAACAGTTTCTGCTCAATGTGAGTACCTTGGACTCGCAGTGTGCCGCAATCTCCTCAAAAGGACCTTTCTGGAATTTCTCCATCACCTGACGGCGACGCTCACGCTCTTGATCCTCCAGGACGCTCGTGTCTGACCGGCATGTACGCACCCAATGACAATGAGCTGTTTTCAGTCTGTGTACATTTGTGGGTTTTTTTTTTACGTATTCATTTTTGTAATCTGTTCGTGTCTTACCAATGGCTTTCTTCAGGGTCTCAAAGGTGATTTCCTCGGCAAGCTGCGACTGAACACACACAAAGTTTTATTGGACAATAATCAAATTAACGGAATGTAAACAGCACAATGGACTAAAGTCTACTTTATTTAGGGAGCAGACACACATGACTGTGAGTACAGTCCAAAGAACAGAACTTACAAGTCAGGTCAATTGTATCTGTAGGCACCACTTACACAATCATAAAATAGCCAAAAGTAGAAAATGAATGTGACAGGCTAACATAATCCCGATACGTCCTCACTATCACCCCCTGGTGGTAAAAAGTGGTCAGAGGGCAAAGCTAGCTGTTAGCATGCTAACTTGCGGCATTGGAGCATCTCTGGCATACCGACCTTGTCCGGCAGGCTGCTGGCCAGGATGTCCACCTGCAACGAGATGGTGTCCACGAAGCTCTTCCTCCTTGTCAGGCGCTCTTCATCTGCAGGACAGCACACGGTTAACAGCTCAGCGGGACCACAAGCGCTAATGGCTCGGATCTTGGCGGCGCATTTTTTTTCCCCCAATGCGGCGCGGCTGGAGCCCAGCAGAGGGGCCAAAACACGGTGCCCATTTGGACACGTTACATAAAAACAGAGACACGATGGGCATTTTTTGACCTAAGCCATGTGCAGCCCAGCCGCGATTATTCAGCCGACATGGTACAACTTTGCAGCGAGAGAGCTGGCAATTGACCCCACCAATAACCAGGGTTCATTCATCGATCAAAGGTGACTTTTGAGGGGAAAAAGTAAAAAAAACAAACAAACTGAAAACCCATTGCCCAGCCCTCGGTTGCATGCTAAACATCAAGAGGTTATGTTTTCACAAAAGCCATTTGTGAAAAACAAGCACAATATTCAGAGAAGTCCACGGGCACTTCCTGTTGTCACTCGGTTGGTACTACTTTTTGCAATGACGCAGGCACAAAATGCACATCAGCTAAAGGACATCCTCCAATTACAACATGAAAGAAACAGGAAGTCAAATACTCACCATGAGTCCAAGTGAGCCGCGGCCGGGCACAAGCCGTTGCGGCATTAGCGTTGTAAACAAGAAGTGACTAAATAACACTCCAAAGCACAGGTTCTCAAACCTTATGTGGTGTAGTTCAAAAAGGGCTCACCTAAATACTGTCGCTGTCGGCTGGAAACCTTGTATGTCAATTTGCGTGTTTTAATTCTCCATGCAACAATGAGGATTGTAAGATGCTTTCAACAAAGGCATATCAGTCATTTAAAGGCCACTCACTGTCTTGCTACTGGAATAAAAACAATTCCAATTGTACAAATATTTGATCATTTGTATGTTGGTAAAATGTTGGCAAAAGTGTTTTTGTAGAAGACAGAGACATTATATTTCATCCATCAGTCAACGTAAGTGAATGATGTAAAATTAGGATTGTTAGGTGGTTGACAGACTACCTCCTTGGAACCCAAAAGTTTGAGAACCCGTGATCTAAGGGTGAGGTGGGTGGTCTGTTGCTACGGTTACTATAGTTGCTATCGTTACCTCTCGACTTCTGTTTGCACTTGTGCAGAATTTTTCCCACTGTGTAAAGCACTGACAGAAGAGGGGAAACATCCAAGTCACATGACACTTCTCAATCAGAAGCTTCCAGGACTTCGGGATCTCACCCACAAGTTTGAGCAGACGTTGTGGACATTCAGAAGTAAAACAACCAATCGGGTTTGTCAATAGAGCTTTGATTGGGCGAACTGGAGTGGAAAATGTGAGCAAGTGGTCAACGGGAGAACTAAATCGCACTGCGAATGGAAGGAAAA